TCTAGCCAGAACAGGCGAAACTTAGGGTGGAAGGACGCTGCCAACTGGCACTCCTTGTCTTCTAGGAGGGGCCCAAACCTTTTCGCGATGCCTGCCAGCATTGCGTCCACCAGAGGACTGCAGTACAGGACGTCTTGTGTATGCCAGTAACACAAGACGTGATTGGCTGACGAACACTTGATGACGTAGTCAGCCGTCAGTGTGGGCGTGGCACACGGCTTACGATCTTAGCACTAAATCGGAGATTTTTAAACATTTTTAGCGGACTGCCAGTTAGCGGAACTAAATTTAGCGGAAGCTAATTGGTCCGCTAAAGGTTTTCAAAGTTAGCTGGACAGCTAATCCGATAAGGAAAAAGTTAGCTTCGCTAATTAGCGGTTAGCGGATTAGCGGAACTGTGCCCACCACTGATCACACCATCACCCTCACCCCTCTCATCCAGCATCACTCTCATCATTTCCAGTCTCTCCCTCTCATATGCATCACACTCCATCATCAATTGCTCCACAATTTCCCTCTCACCTCTCACACATAAAACAAATATAACATCTCCTGCCATTCCACCTCTACTGTCCAATTATATATCATATATGCACGCATACTTTGGCATCTCTTCCATCTTGTACAATCTCAGGCTGTCCTTTAGATCTTTCCATTCTCTTAAATCACATAATTTCTCTCTCTTTTTATTTCATTCATTCATTCTTTAACTTCAGCCATTCGGTCCCTGTTACACCTGTACTGTCATCAGCCATTCTGTCCCTGTTAGACCTGTACTGTCATCAGCCATTCGGTCCCTGTTACACCTGTACTGTCATCAGCCATTCGGTCCCTGTTACACCTGTACTGTCATCAGCCATTCGGTCCCTGTTACACCTGTACTGTCATCAGCCATTCGGTCCCTGTTACACCTGTACTGTCATCAGCCATTCGGTCCCTGTTACACCTGTACTGTCATCAGCCATTCGGTCCCTGTTACACCTGTACTGTCATCAGCCATTCGGTCCCTGTTACACCTGTACTGTCATCAGCCATTCGGTCCCTGTTACACCTGTACTGTCATCAGCCATTCGGTCCCTGTTACACCTGTACTGTCATCAGCCATTCGGTCCCTGTTACACCTGTACTGTCATCAGCCATTCGGTCCCTGTTACACCTGTACTGTCATCAGCCATTCGGTCCCTGTTACACCTGTACTGTCATCAGCCATTCGGTCCCTGTTACACCTGTACTGTCATCAGCCATTCGGTCCCTGTTACACCTGTACTGTCATCAGCCATTCGGTCCCTGTTACACCTGTACTGTCATCAGCCATTCGGTCCCTGTTACACCTGTACTGTCATCAGCCATTCGGTCCCTGTTACACCTGTACTGTCATCAGCCATTCGGTCCCTGTTACACCTGTACTGTCATCAGCCATTCGGTCCCTGTTACACCTGTACTGTCATCAGCCATTCGGTCCCTGTTACACCTGTACTGTCATCAGCCATTCGGTCCCTGTTACACCTGTACTGTCATCAGCCATTCGGTCCCTGTTACACCTGTACTGTCATCAGCCATTCGGTCCCTGTTACACCTGTACTGTCATCAGCCATTCGGTCCCTGTTACACCTGTACTGTCATCAGCCATTCGGTCCCTGTTACACCTGTACTGTCATCAGCCATTCGGTCCCTGTTACACCTGTACTGTCATCAGCCATTCGGTCCCTGTTACACCTGTACTGTCATCAGCCATTCGGNCGGCCTTTTTTGTTCCCGGATTTGGCCGATTTTAGGCAACCTGAATTATGTACCACTACCTCCTGGAGAAATACATTTCGTGGTACGCATATGTACCAATACGCAGTCAACGTGTTAAGCAAGTCTTTATAATACTGCCAATCCTAGATAATGTGTACACTTTCGACAACTTGCTTTCAATATACATAAAATAATTCTCATTGCACCAGCCCTCCACTTTTGGCACCATTTATTTTATTGCTTGAGCTTAATGCTTTATATTAAACTCTACATTGGAACTGACGTATCTTGAAGAAACTAAAGTTTTAGAATATAGGTTTTTGTAATCTAATAATATATCCTTTTTTCCAAACCAAGAGATATAGATGAAAAATTAGATACTTTCGTGGTTGTAACATTGGAGAAACATTTCGCTTTTTATATTTCATGGCCAGCATTACAATTTTTATAATGATTTTGAAATATTCGAAGTATTTCTACAGCCCATTTTACAGCACATACTACATCAGCAACTTAGTGTCACAATCTACCTCTTTTCTTTACATAATTTCATGGCTCCTATTACTTTTTTTGACGTTTATGAAATATCAAATTTTTCTAGCTCTAAATTGAATGTATTTTTTCCAGCACATACAACAGCAGCAAATTAGTCTGCCACAGTCTACCTCTTTTCTTTTCATAATTTCATGGCTCCTATTACCTTTTTCTTGACGTTGTACAATACAAAAATTTTCTAGCTCTAATTTAAGTGTATATTTCTGCAGCACATACAACAGCAGCAAGTTAGTCTGCCACAGACCACAGCTTCAGCAGCGCCTTCGTCAGGAGATGACGTGGTCGACAGACTCCTGTACACGCACGTCCCTGCAGCAGTGGAGGGCGACGCCGGTGCCCCGTCAGTGACCATCAAGGAGGAGAAGCCCTATAAACCTTTTAAATGTCAACAATGTCCATACGAGACAGAACGTAAACACAGACTTAAAGTCCACGTCATGGCTATACACACGGGCGAGAAGCCGTTCAAATGCTCGCAATGTGAATACGCAGCGGCTAGAAAGTCTACGCTTAAAGAACACACGCTAACCATACATTCTGACCTCAAACCTTACGAGTGCAATGAGTGCGAATATCGTACGAAGAAACAGTCTAACCTCAAGGTTCATTTACGTGCAATTCATTCCAACGACAAGCCTTACAAGTGCACAGAGTGCGATTATTCCGCTGCACTCAAAACGCTGCTCAGGAAACACATGGACCGGTTCCACTCCATCGACGCGAAATCCTTCAACCCTCTGCAATGTTTACGGTACTCCAAAAAAAGATCCAATTCAACTCAAGCTCAACAACAACAACTTGAAGACCAACAGCAGCAACAACAACAAATAACCCAGCAAATTCAAGTCCCAGAGACACATCCATCTTTACCCGAAGAAGCTGCCATCGCTGTTCCCGCCGAGCAGCAGCAGCAGCAGTTAACGCAGCACGTGCAGCAGCTGCAGCAGGAGCAGCAGCAGAAGCAGCACACTCAGTCCATCATCAGTGGCGTGACCACGGTTACTGAAGGCTCAGATAAGCCCTTCCACTGCACCTTGTGTGGCTTCAGAACCGCGAGGAAGTCCAACCTGAAGGCCCACATCTCGACTGTGCACCTCAAGGAGAAGCCCCACAAGTGTTCTGAGTGTGACTTCATGACGGCACGCAAGGCCAGCCTTCGCACGCACATGTCGTCCATACACTCCGTGGGCGGCAAGCATGCAAACAAGTCCTAGTGGGGGACTTGAACAAGTCCTAGTGGGGACTTGAACAAGTCCTAGTGGGGACTCCTACACTCCGTGGGCGGCAAGCATGCAAACAAGTCCTAGTGGGGGACTTGAACAAGTCCTAGTGGGGACTTCTGGGCAAACATGATGAAGGGTTGGGAGTGTGGGGATCAAGGCAATAATTGTTTTAGGGAAGACAAGCTTACAGTTTTTTTTTTCCTTTTTTTGTCTCGCTGGAAAGTTTTCAATCTGACTAACGATGGTCAGACTACGTGATCGCAATTATTGCTATCCCGTCTAGAATTTTGGACTGTACAAAATACTGAAATATGGACTTGCAGTGAATTTTTTTGCACGGTTTATACTCGGCAAACTTCGTAGGTTCCACTTCTTAGGCTGTAACATGTCTTCTTGGGACTTTAAATCTGAGATTTTGGGACAAATATGACTGCCGAGACTACATTTTTTGTTTGTGCGTTACAATGCAAATGTTGCAAGAAACCACTTTCGTGTCCCGTAGTGTGAGTGCACAGTTCTAATCCAGTATATAAAGCTGTTTTTATACGGATTTTTAAGCAAAATAATGTACAAAATGTTTTAATTTTTGTAAGAACTGTTCAGAAGAAACCAGAATTTTGTTTTTTGCTTTCGCTGGGGAAAGCACTTGAAAGATCCAATGTGTTTGTGAAAATCTTATTTGAGCAACGTAATGTTTCATTTGATTATTTATACGCTGGTTTAAGTTTAATGATGTAACTAAATTCTAATCGAGGTAAACGTTCATGTCAGCAGCCATAGTGTAATTATCTTGTCGAATTCATGCGCGAATTTACCACCTGAATAGATTTTTCATACTCAGAAAATGAATAGGTAATCTCGTCCAAATTGTGACACTTTCTATCATACAGCACCGGTAGAGAGCAGACGTAGCACTGATACACCTTTTTGCTGGGTCAAACTGTGTCAGGATGACCCGGGGCCATACTTTCAAAACTCGCTAAGTGAACGTAAGTACTTACGCTCTATTTTCTTGTCTATGATTGGTGGATTTGGCATGAAAGGCCGTCAATGATTGGCTGATGAACTTACGACCTCTTAACTTTTTTTTAAAGTATAGGCTCAGGGCAAGAAGTGTCACTACATTGACAAAGATACACTTATTTCCTTGAGTGTACATGGGATGGCTGGGGTATTGGGTTGCCTTGGTAACCGGGGTTACCAAGGCATTATCAATTAAAAAACTGTAAAATTAAATAAATAAATAAATTAAAAAGCTGTAAATACTTAACAACACAACACGTAGTGTGGGGCGAGGGCTCCCTTGTGTTGGAGTGACCGCGTTTGCTTGGAACTTCATTCCTTTGTCTCGTTTGAATAGTTTTTTATATTGTTTTAGTTCACTAGGTTATATCCTATGTATGAATCAAGTTCANTAAGTCGTGATGATGTCGTCACTGATTATTATTTTTTTCTTTTTGTAGAATTTTTTAATTTTATTTATATTATATATAAATTATAGCTGAACTAATAAAATGGAGGCATTGATACCAATTACTCGAGTATTGAAAAGTGAATTTAATACGAAATCATTAACAAAAAATCATATTCATGATAATCGTTAAGAAAACAATCGCTTTTAAAAAATCATCTATGTAAAAAATTATCACCATGTGTCCGTGTTTCACATTCATTTAATCCATCACGTAAAAATATAATATAAATAACTTAATTTTTTTAATAATGTCAATATTTGAAACATGATTTTTTTTCTCTTGACGCCATAAATGACTGGAATTTTACGTGAATTTATTTAAATCGAATGCATTCGATACTTCTGAAATGTGATGAATGAAATTAATTTAGTTTCATCATTAAATAAATATTTTAAAAATTTAATTATTAAATAATCATTAACTAATAGTGCGCCTTTGGGTTCCCTATGTAAGCGACCCAAGACCTCCATCAGTAATGCCCGCATGTTTGTCCGGTAAATTAGTTCCGCAATTAAAGTTCACTGTTGTTTATCTAAACATTTATTGGCTTCTTATTTTGTTATCTTTGTGAAGATTGGTCGGCAAGATAAGCCTATGGGACCTATACATAATTATACATGATATACATGATATACATGATACTGCCACGCCATACATGATGCATGTGTATCATTTGTTGTCCAGCGTCTAGACTATGGGCAGTGTGTAACAAGCAAAGACATGCATCTATGGCTCAGATAGCGGAAAAACGCCTAAAGTTATCACTTTTATCACTGAGAGTGATGCGCGCAAGAAATCTACATTAGTTTTGAGTCATAATTGCACACATTATGACTACCGGTATCTCTTAGCTTTTTGTGAACGAAAACCATAGAATGTATATTATGCATGGAAATTACTATGGAAAGAGATTGGTGTCCAGGTTTCCATAATCCTGAATAAAATTGAGGGTATTTACATTGTTAGTTCAGTTATATTTACCTTATAGAGATCATTTACCTCAAGACATTGTCTTGAGCTTCTGTTACAAGCAGCTGAAGCAGCATTTCAGAGAAATAGTAAAATCAGGATGTATATCTCAAATTATCGAGTGGGACAGAGGACAGCCCACTTTCATTGAACCAACTAGAACTAAAGCCAGGATGCGCTGCCATGAATGCTACAACATACTCTCAGCAAATGAGGGAAGTGCCGTAGCAAATGTGGAACGCGAAGGGTAAAAAAATATTTTGATGACTGAAGGAAAACCATAGGTACATGTGTGATAATTGTTTTTCTATCAGGTATGAAATTTAATGATGTTGGCAACACCCAATTTTGTAGTTTCAGATCAATAAGAAAATATTTTATTTTCTTTTCATGCAAAGATAGATATATATATATATTGCTTTCATCAATGGACACAAATTTCATAATCTTTGTATTACTTGCATTTGAAAATAAAACTATGTCTCTAAGCAGTAGTTGACTTCAAAGCATCCCCCAACTTGCCTATTGAATTGTATCATTGAAATTTTAAATTTGAAAGAGTAGTAAGATTTTATAAAAAATATGTATTTTTCATATGAATGTACCACATGTGTACACATCGCGATTTTGAGAAGTACAGCATGTACATATATGGCGCACATCGCGGCCAACGTGTTAAAGATTCACTCATCAAAGTTGGTTTTGTAAGAATTTTGATGAAAATTATGTTTGCAACGCATCTTGAAGACTTCCGATGACACATTTGTGAAGACTGTCAGCAATGCTGCAACGCATGTTGGGTACTGACGTATATAATGTTGGCAGAATTTATAGTCTACACATGGAAAAATTGGTGACACATTTACCAAACTCTGCATCCTGTTTAATATGCTTGTTCAAACTCTGTTGCAAGCTTTTCAAGTAAAAAATGCAACTAATTATGCAGAATGCATAAAATATTATTTTAAATATTTATGAACTCTGTCATTCAATGCAATCACATATTCACAATCATCTGGATCCCACCACCAAGTACAATATTACAACGTTGCCAGTTAGTGGAGGAGATGTACATGGAGATCATGGAGATGTAGAAATACATCTCCATGATAAAACAAGGCTGTGTCAATCTAATCTCACAGTTGCCAGTCGAACATCAGCTACTCTGAGCCACCTACATCAAAGTATTACATATGCAGTAATTAATTAATGACAGTAATACTTGATAAATGTAGCAGAATGTTCCAAAGCATATACTAAATACCCTATACCAAAATTAGCAAATTGTACCAAAAACTATTAAATTGTAAGGATTAAAGTGAATTTTTTGAGAACCAAATTATTCAATTCCTTGGCGAGACACACATATAAATTCACGTTTGTTGCTGTTAAAATGTCTCTATATTGTGTATGGTTTTTACCATATCATTGATGGCCCATCTAAAAATTACTTGGCACCATCTCACAGAACCCTGAAATTGAAATGGCCTTCACCAATCATTTAAATATGTGTCATATGTTATATGTTTCACTGCTGTTCAAAGACAAGGTATAACAATTTTTCAATGAACTTGTTGGCATATTTTATTTCTAGAAGAATGCCCAAGAGGTAGGCCATCCTGAGTACCATTCTCCATAATACTACCGTACTACTGCGCAACAATATAAATGCCCAGTTTCAACAAACTTATTTGCTTGGCTCAGCTCCTATTTGTCTATTTTGAATGTGAACATTTACCTATATTTCTCTTTTGAAGTCTCACCAGGCAGTAATTTGCAAAATTTCATTGCAAATGAAAAGAGTCTTTTTACAAATATCCTAAAGAATAGAGTCTTTAGAATAGAAGGAATAGAGTCTTTAGAATAGAAGGAATAGAGTCTTTAGAATAGAAGTAATAGAGTCTTCAGAATAGAAGGAATAGAGTCTTTAGAATAGAAGGAATAGTCTTTAGAATAGAAGGAATAGAGTCTTTAGAATAGAAGGAATAGTCTTTAGAATAGAAGGAATAGAGTCTTTAGAATAGAAGGAATAGTCTTTAGAATAGAAGCAATAGAGTCTTTAGAATAGAAGCAATAGAGTCTTTAGAATAGAAGCAATAGAGTCTTTAGAATAGAAGGAATAGAGTCTTTAGATAAGAAGGAATAGAGTCTTTAGAATAGAAGGAACAGTCTTTAGAATAGAAGGAATAGAGTCTTTAGAATAGAAAGAATAGAGTCTTTAGAATAGAAGGAATAGAGTCTTTAGAATAGAAGGAATAGAGTCTTTATAATAGAAGGAATAGAGTCTTTATAATAGAAGGAATAGAGTCTTTATAATAGAAGGAATAGAGTCTTTTTACAAATGTACTGAAGCTATACTGTTTTCCAGCCTGGCTGAGCTGCTGCTCGTCATGAACAAGGACAGCTTGGGCAACCCGTTGTCTCACATGCTGGAGGTGCCAAGGAACCAGCTCACCAGCTTCCACTTTGTGCCGAGTGCCCAATTGGTGACCACAACCAAGACCTCGGATGATGCAGGGCCCAGTTTCTTGCCCGTCAACACAAACGGCATCATCGATGCCAGCATCAGGAGCCCAAACTACATCAGCTCGGTGGCAGGCCATCATGCGGAGGTCATCAATGCCACGACCGTGTTTACATCTGCTGGTAATAATGTCAACTGTTCTTTTAATAAGTTTTAATGTTATGATGTCTTGTTCCCTTCATTTTATTTTATTTAATTATAAAGTTTTTATTTCAATTAATTGTCCCGATTCCTTGAAATACCAATCAATTGTTAGATCTTACAAATTATTAAGCACATTTGGTGCCCATATTATATTTAATTATTCAATATTAATTTGATATTTAAGTAATTGTAATTGAAATATTTAATTCAGCCACTGTTAATGGCTATTAACCTAATGACAAGAGATTATCCTTGCTTAAAAATTATCATACTTTACTGAATTGTCAATTTGTACTTACAGCCCAGCACCAATATGGACCACTCAACATGGTCACCACAAATGTTTCACAGCAACAACAACAACAGCAACAGCAGCAGCAGCAGCAGCATGTTCGGGTAGGGATTTCACAAGGCACAATTGTGACGTCATCACAAATGCAATCCATCTCCATCCCCATCAGTGCAGTGGACAATCTCAGCGCCATGGATGCGCAGTTCAAGTACATTGAGGGCAAGCAGCTCGCTACCACTGGCACCATGCAGGTCAGTTCAGTTCATAACATAACTCCATTTAGAACTCTTCATTTAGACGAGTTTGATTGAAAAAAAAAATCTATTTTCCATGCAGGTCAGTTCAGTTCATGCAATAAATCCATTTATATATGGTAGAACTCTTCATTTAGACAAGTTTGATTGAAAAAATTCTATTTTTATTCAGAAATTTTTGAAGTTAGTTTCTCTAACAGTTTAATAATTGGTTTAGTTGTAGGATGAAAAATTTCAAAATGTCTTTACATTAAAGGTTGTTACTTATCTATGTTATGTATGAAATTGCAAATGTTCTGATATATAACTTAGGATGATGATATCAAGAATTAACCTATACTGGAAGACATTTTTTGTCAAATTCTGTGTGATCACTGACAATGAATTTTTGAAATTCCAATGAATTGGAAAGCAGTTGGTTTTATGTTGACTACCACTACGGTTTTTGTTTTAAAAATGGAAAAACAGGAAGAAATAACATGTGTCAATAGTAACAAACTCTGATATCTAATAATGGTAAGAAACTCTAATAGGCTCACTATGGGTCAGTGAATTAAGTTTGATGCCTTCTATCACAATTAAAAATGACGAAGTCTTTAACTACGATGTGATTGTTGACTTGGTCTCATAATGTCGTATGACTGCAGGTTGGTGACGGTATGGAGCGGATCACAGTCAAGATTGACCCTATAGACGTGACGCCGCTGCAGTCAAGAGCAGAGGAGCAGCTGCTGCACCAGCAGCTGGCGCAGCATGCGGACGCTGCGTACAGAGGGCGTGCGGAGCTCTCCTGCGTCATCAAAGCCGAGGTCTTGTCGCTCTCTGCTACTGCGACCACACTTTTTATACTCGCTCACCAACCGGCCTAAGTGCATG